CTGTAAAATAAATACCAACAACTTAAGTACAAACACTTCATTTTGACAGCGTTAAAAATGACTATTTGAATAAATGTATTACAAATGAACCCTATTTCCAGCGTAGTTTTAAAACCTTTTTAAGCTCTTATCTCGCCATACATCCTTTACCATCAAGGTTATCCACGTCTTCCATCATTTGATATGATAATATAGTCGTGACTCGATAATCTCACCCTTAACAATCCTAAACTTTGCTATCTGACAGGTTTTTAGGAAAAACTAACAGAACCCATAAAAACAGCCTTAACATACCGACAGCTTTGGATTCTGACTCCAACATGACATTTTATCTCACCAATCAGGATAACGGCGTATTATCTGACTGAACAATCCCACAGATTGGCTACGTTCACACTGCAGGACTTAATTTTTTTGTGAAATCTGATTTCTTTGTGAGTTCATTCACATTTCCAATTAAATACGACTTGTATGTGATCTGCTGTGTGAACTTCATACGACCCAAAAGTGTCCCGCATGCACAGAAGAGGACACGACGACGTCACACACAGTGAGCGTGCTCAGTGTTTGCAGAAGTAAACGCAGATGGTAACGGTGGAGCGTATCTGCCACTTCCCCACCACCGCCACCAATGGTGGAAACAGAACTGCAACTGCTATTCTAAACTGGCATGTGCCTTTCAGCCACTTCCACCCCATTGGAGCACATCCTTGGGGTGGAAGTGGTCGGAACGTGCACAAGCACACCGGTCAATTAGGCGTGAGATCCAGCATGCGTAGTGTTCTAACAATACACTAGTTATTATAACAACTATGAACAATAAATATTAACAACTAATGAGCCTTCCAGCATCAAGCGCTCCTTGTATCTCGACCTCCGTCTTGACAATCCAACAGCCTTGCTATCTGACATAAAAGAAGGTTTTACATTTAGTGTTGGATGATCGAGTCACAACTGTACTTGCAATTTTTTTTTTTATCGTCGCCTTTATATCTACTAAAAAAAATCTGATTTTGAAGTTGTCATGTTTTACATCTCACCTTATCATAGCATAGAAGTCTGGCACTAGCATGTAAGAGAGATTACCTGGAATCTAGCAGTATTAAATCCATTACAATGGGATCCTGTATGACTTAGAAATTTTGAAAAAAAAAAATAAAAAATTAAAAACCCTTATTTTATCCACTGAAGCGTCCACATACAGTAGGCGACTTGCAGGTAAAAGGTTTGGTTTGCTCTTTCTCATGATACGATACTAACACATTGCACCACAAGATATATTACCACAATTGCATCGCATTGATATGAACATATGCGTGCAATTATGAGTTCATGAGTAATTCAAACAAGAGTAATGAGTGTGCAGATCCACGCAGACGTGCATGCAGGTTGATAACAACTTTGAGAGCAATTTAACTGAAATGCATTCACTGGGTTCTAAGAGTTAAGATACAGCTTCTCAGTCTTCAAATGTATCATGGATGCACATTGTGGTCAGATGAAAAAGAACAGCGTTCATATGAAGTAGTGGCTTACATGTCACGTGTACAGCCACGACATGAACCGCATTTTTAAACTTCAAGTCTATTTTTCATTTCACACGTCATTGTACGTTGAAACTGTGCAATTCTGTCTCATGATCACACTATTCATTCTGTGCAGACGTGGCGTCAGAGCCAGTGACTACAAATATATGCAAGACAGGGTGCAAACTGGAGGTGTTGATGAAGAGGTCCAGGAGTTTCAGAAAGTTACCTAATCTCAGCCACTGGTGCTTCAATTCTAAAGCAATTTAAGCTACTTCTTGTGAATCCCCCACTTTGGAATGATGGTGGAGTCCTTGGGCCTTTATGCAGATACTTGATGGTGTTGTTTTTTTCTTTGCCTGCACAGAGTCTGTCAAAGTCAATTAAGATGTTTTGGAAATTCTCTACCACGATGTCTCTTTAAAAAGCTTCACGGGAGACGCAGATGTGACATTTTTACACAACTTTCCTCAGGCAGCCAGGTGGTGTCATCTCCTTTCAAAAGGAATCTGTTTACTGATCATGGGGGGTTCACCGCACTGCATGCTAATGATCTCTTTAAAAATGTCAGGAACATTAAAATGATAGGATGCAACTTGATTGTTTTGAGTCATCAAATCATGGTAATTGCTTTAATTCTTATGTGCCAAGTGATAATTTGGTACCTCAGCCTTGGAAATGTGTGCTTCTTGCCAGAGCTTTTTTCTCCTAGTGTTCGTTATTATGTCACCAACTCTAATTTCTTTAGCGACTGAAATTGCTAGTTAAATTGAAAGCCCACCAACAAGGACTTTTAAGACTGCAGTGCTTATGTATTCTTTTCTAAAACCAAATGGATGCACAGAATTAAAAAAAAAATGGCATCTTAATCAGGAAAACAATATTATTACACTTTTATAATATACAGTAGTGTTATAGGAGTGGAAGTGTAGCCTAAATAGTATGTTTAGCATGTTTCTCTGCCCTAAACAGTGGCTGTCAACCACTACATGTGGTCGTCAGTGTCAGAATTTGTGTAATAACAATCCACAGAACCAAATCTAGACATACATCACATCCTTTTATGAAGCTATATGTGAATTACGCATGGATTCAAGAGCTTGATATTAGTCTAATGTCACCGCAGCCCATCTCCACTGCATGATGCTAAAAATGCTAAGAAGTGGGCTAGGGGAGGGCGGGAGGCATAAATGGGTGAGGCAAGAGTTGCTCAGGCCACAAAAAAGGCCAAAGAAAAAAGACAGAATCTGCCACACCTACGCCACACAGAGCTCCTGTCCCCTCCAGAACCCCCTGAAGCAGACAGAGCAGCATGGACAACTGCTCCAGCCTCAGTCAATGCCAGAAGCTCTCAGTAGACGTCATGCAGAACCATTTACAATCCATGGAATGCAGATTTTTATACATTTGGTGGGTGCTGTTGTTATTGACACCAACGCTGATGGGCTTCATCACAGTGTGGTCACATCATTTACCTTAAAGCTAAAATAAACCATGTTCCTCTTTAATCCGTACGCTGATTGTAAACGGTCACCAAAGCAATCATCTGAGTGATCTGTCTCAGTCAGTGGTTCTCAAACTTTTTGAGCCACGACCCCCAAGACAACATCAGTTTGTGTTCGTGACCCCCAATGTGAATTTTTAATATGGCGTGAGTAATAACTTTGTTGATCATGCATTAGTGCAAGTAAAAAACGAATGTGTTAATTCCACAGATTCATCTCTTTACATTAGCATGTTCATTTACTTTTGAATGAATGAATTGAATTTATTTTAAACAAACAAAAGGGGAAAAAAATATAAAAACAAAAGAAAATGATTTTTAAAAGAGCAAAAAAAGAATAATAGCATCGCATAATCAAATCAAAATATCAACAAGTCCAAAAAAAGGATTGGGAACAAGTATGCACTGTTAATGTTGACAGCCCTAAGACAAATTTATTTGATAAATGTCGACCCCCATACGGGTCCCGACCCCCAGCTTGAGAACCACTGGTCTAAGTAATGCCACCCATACACATATGGTTGCCAGTAGATGAGCTACATGACACATCAGGAGGTGACAATGACTTGTGTTGTGTAACGACCGAGTCCTTCTCTTTGTAGCAGCTCCTCAATCCAAACACATCCACTGATAACTCTACAACACAACAAGTCACTTTTTGATGCCGTCTTGTTGAAACACGAGGTCCAGTCTTGACTAATAACTCTCATCATCATTGTTGAGCTCTTTGTGACACCAGACAAGTTAATGTTCTCCTCTGGGACTTCCAGGACGCCAGCGACTTTTACAATCTACTAAACGAGCTACTTGCCAGTCTGTGTACTTTAATAGCATCTCTGATTTTGTTTGTTTGAACATGAAACAGACCAGAACTCAAAGGTACCAGTATTCCCTTTGGTCGGAACCAGACGAACCGAACGAGACAACAGACGAGGAAGCACCCTTCATGTGTTCTGACAGAAATTGCGGCGCTACAATCACAGACTGCAGACAAATGTTTGTATCATTTGAAATGCAGTGAATGTAGTGAAATCCCCACTTCTGATCATCAAATAATTCAAAATAACTTCTTTCTGTTTCCTGCTTCACTCAAGCAGTCAAAGAGAAACACGTTCAAAAGGGTAACGGAAAGACTGCCATGAAAATACTACCACAGGTCGCCATGAGATGTAAAGAGGGAGAAAGTACAAGCTCTAAAGAGTAAGATGAATGTACAAGTTATTTCAGTGTTAGGAGGGCAACGTTCTTACAACTGTGCAATGGGTCAACGGTCAAACTCAGCAGCTGAGTTTATTTCGTGGTAAAAATGTGCCGACTTTCCACATAAAGACTTAAAAGCAGTCGATGATTTTACTTTCATTCATTCAAGACACCAGCAACAGCGAGAGCCCATGCAAAATTAATGGCGGGGTAATTTCCGCTGATTCATTAAATCACATTGTGGTGATTAGCAGAGCTGAATTGTATCATCATTGTCTTATTGGCAGACACGTCCCAGGTGAGAGCCGGCGACTGTCAGCGTGTTAATATTTGATGACAACGTTTCATATTTAACGCCGACACGCTCGGCCGCGTGCGACGGCGGCGGCGGCGGCGGCACGCTGGATCGTGAACTGTCTGGAAGACAAAGAAGGCCGAGCCGAAAAAAGGGAACTCGGAGCCTTTAAATAGAGCCGCGATAAATCATAATTAAATATTTGAGCTTTCAAATAATTCAAACAAGCTCCGTGTGAGTTCCAACATTGTGGAATTAAACTTTTATAATATCTGGTGTTAGACTAATGAATAGGCACAGTAAACATTATGTTCCAATCTAATCTGACATATGTGTATCGTAATAATAATCCCTTTTCTCATTATTTATACGATGGATTGTTCTCATTTTTACCCTCATTTTCAGACGTGTGTTGAAGAAAAGGCTTCACTGTTCACAGAAAAGGGATCAAACGGAGAGAAAAGGAGGTCCTCACCCTGCCATGACAATAAAGAAATCCAGCCGGTTCCACGTGTCCCCGAGGTAACAGCGCCGGCCAAATATTCCCAGAGCCACCATCTTTATAACCATCTCCAGAGCAAAGAAGATGTAGATGAATGCGTCAAAGGCCTGACAAAGAGACATGAAGAGACAAAGAGACAAGGCGTCAAACAGGAAAAGGAGGAAAAGGGTCTTTCCTCATTGCAGTGGGCAGCACAAGCAAGAAACAAATAAACCACAGATAGACATCTATTAGTTTAAAGTGTGTATTTACTGAAAGCGAAACTTATTTTATACGAGTGCTGGCAAGTGGAAAATATTAATTTTTGTAATTTTAATGAGCCAACACTTCATATTTCAGCTAGCAGTTGACAACCAGAGGGGTCAATGGGAAAAAAATAAAAGTCTTGGTCTTTTCTTTTCTGTACACGTTATAGATTTCTCATCCGATGGGCTCTAAAGATGATTTAAATTATCCAAGTGTGAGACAGAGAAATCATTTACAGGCATGCACAGAGTACTGAGAGATCACAAAAACACATTGCTTTGTATTTCTGTATTGCAGGAACAGAATATGAGCCACTGAAATAATAAGTGAGTTAGGATTTTGAACCTGAAGGAAACAAAATGAAATGCACATTAAACTCATCCTGTTAAATGGACCCCTGGAAAAGAAAGGGTTAATGACTGAGTTGCAGCAACAAGTGGACAAACACCACCTGCTGCTATGGAACTGTAGCAACATGCTGATGGCAGAGTCAAAACTGAGAGTCTACTGATCCGCCCCGCCTGCTGTCAGCAACATGCAGTGGCATGGGGGGGAACTGTTATGTTTGCCTGACTCATCGTTATCAAATGGGCATTTAGGGCTGATGCCAAGGTGTGCGCTTTCCATCGTCTCAAGGCTGCTCGACCCGAACGATTCCAAACGTCTGGACCTTCCCACAGACTTAATAGGTTCTTACCTGTGAAGTATACGGAGTGCTTAGAGCTGTCCAAATCCACAATTCATCAAGTTTTTAGGAGCCTCAAGCACAAATCCTGCAGATATTTTTTTGCAGGGTTTGCATCATTTTCAGACTCTGTTGGATTACAGTTTAAAAGGCTGTACTTGGATACACAACCGTTAATATAGCGACACTGGATGTACACAAAGTGCAAATGTGATTCAGATCAGAATCATTTGAAAACTATTTTAAGATGGATTATACATTAAGGTCTTGGCAGCTCTAGTGCCCTTTTAGACGTCGAAACAATCGGTCCATTAAATGAGTGGCCAATTTATTTTCTGTTGACTGATTAATTACTTTTTTCCGATAACCTTTCTCAGAAGGAGTTGCCATTTTTTGAGTGAATATGAACCTCACTGGCTTTAGATGTGATGACTGGATGACTGGAGGTCTTGATATCTTTTCGTTTTCAAACGTTGGAAGATGCGACCTTGGGCTCTGAAACATTGTGTATGTTTTTCATGTTTAGCTCCACGTCGCATGATTAACAACTAAGCAAATAATTAGATCGCAAACATGAGCATGTATGAAAAACAACGGCAGGAATAGCAAGTCCTTTCAGAAACAGCTGCTTCATCACCATGCTATCTTGGGGATAATTTGGCTGAACAACCTGGAGGGTTTTAATTATAAAACTTAGCTAGCAGTGGAAGTGAATCACAACCTTCACCAGAATACCCATAAAACTGATACCAAGCCAAACCAGACCTCAGCCTTCATCTCGTCATCGTCCTCTTACTTCACTTGTCCTTTCACCATTTTATTGTATTTTCCTGCCAATGTTCTATCTGTAATCACCTTCTCTCTATGAAACCTCCACTTCTCTGCTCCTTCCTTCGACCCCCACCCTCTGAGCAGTTTGCCCTAAATGGTGGGGTAATGGAAAATAATTTGTTTGAGCAGTAATCAGAGATAAACCCCACATCGGCACCCCCCCCTACTTTAGTCCCAGCTTTAATCAAGCATCTAATTAAAAGAAGAGAGAGAAAAAAAATCTAAATAAATCAAAGATCTCAGCTTGCTAATGCATGTTATTGCTGTTGTGAGCAAAAAGCCTCGATTAGCCGCTGTTCTTTTCTGTGTATACAGGGGGATTAGAGATGAACTGACACGCTTGCTGTTGCCTGTAATTTGATTTTCAGCGGGAAGCACTGTAGGCAACATGATCTGAATCTGAACCACTGATGTGGATCTCTGTTCAGCATCCGATCTAAAAGTCTTGGAGGAGTGTCGGGATGCCACGCTGGCCTACTAATGCGGAGGGATGGTCAAAGTTTGCAACCTTGACCTTTTGTCAAACCGGAAAGATGGACGAGGTGCTACCTTTGGTAAAGTTCACTAACCCAAGGGAGATGAAACTCCACCAAATACCAACAAAGACTGCTGCGCTGACATTTTCTGCAGCTCTCTTTCTCATATCTGTCACTTTATTTGGCGTTTTCTGCCTTTTTCTTTAACTTGTCTCCGTCTCCATACCAGTGGAACTGAACAGGGGATCACCAATGTTAGGATGCATCCGCTCTCTGTATTAAACTTCACATAAAGACAAAAAGTCCCATTGCTGGTGTTGTTAAAGAGCCACTCCAGTGAAATCCAGTTGTTTTTGTTGTATTGTTAACGTACCCATGTGGTGGTTTCATAGGCTGGAAGACATATAAGAAGCTAAATATGCAGTCAATGCCACAGTAGGACATTTCCATCTTAAAACTCCAGCATATTGGGGCGGCGCTATGGCTCACCTGGTTGAGCTGGCGTCCCATGTGCAGGGCTACAGTCCCAATGTGGAGGTCATGAGTTCGAATCCCACTCATGACCGTTTCCCACATGTCCTCCCCCCATTCTTCTCCCTCACTTTCCTGTCTCTCTCTCTCACTAACACTATCCAATAAAGGCACAAAGGCTAAAAAAATAACTTCATTCAATAACTCCAGCATGTTGATGACAGTCTTAAAAAACACAGATTCAAATTCAGGTTTCCGACCCAACACACCGATGGAACCCATCCTGTCAACTTTCTGTATCATTATTCTTCCTCAGAACTGATTTCTGATCAGTTTAAAAATGAAGGTGAGCTGGTGTTCTCCAGCTGCAGCCAGTGGGGTGGCGTGATTGGAGACAGAGGAACGTACAACATAAACCGATGTGTTCCAGAGGAAGCGATGATGTAGAGTTACATCTAAGGCATTTTAAGGCAGGAAGGTGTTAGTTTTAAAGGAAAAAAAAACCTTCCAAATATTTAACTAAGAGATATGTTTTTAGTGGATAAAACAACTAAAGAGGGACTTTAAAAATTCCTAATCGAGTCCATGTAAAGTAGTTTGTTTTTTAACAAATTAAACTTGTCATTGATCTGGTGGAGGTTCCAGCCTCCCCGTGACCCTTATGAGGATTAAGCTGTGTATAGATAATGGATGGATGGATGATCTGGTGGAGCAACATATGCAACGGTAACACAGCTTCTAAATGTTCTTAATCATATCTTTGACGTTTCTGTTTTGAAATTTCTTGGCACTTACCGGCAGACATCCTTGTACATTTAATATTTTTATAGCTTCCACAAATGCTCCCTTTGCAGTTGTGCCTTGAAATAAATTCTAAATGTGTATATTAGAAAGCTTAAGAGCAGGTATGAATGATAAGTGTGCAGTTCATTTCTCATCTTTGCAGGAACAGGGCAACAGTTTCCCCCCCTTCAGATAATCTTCCTCAAAGCGACATGTTTTGTAGGATAAACGAAGGAATCACAAAGATGCAGCAGAATGTGGGCATGTGTCTTTGTACAGATAATTTATTATCCACTGATGAATCAAGCTGATACACCAGTTGGCATTGGCTGATCACTAATGTCTCACAAACTGAAAATTAAAAGGTTGCAGGTAACACAATACCTTGTGTCTCCTCGCCATTGAGAAGGATGTTTCCTGAATCTCTTTATAAGATTTCTCTTAAAATCGGTGAATCTTTATTGCTTATTTCTATTTGTTACATGATGATGCCATTTCTTTCTGCAGATCTACCCACAGAAACAGCAAACCACTGCTAACTAACATGATTTATCTTTTAGTATCTTATCGTACTGGAATCTTTTGGTTCTACAAAGCACGCTTTGAATCCAAATATAATCAGATCAAAGAGCGCTGCCACTTTAAAAGACCCTTCACAACACGAGCGCACTGGCCTTGGTGGATTTGAGTCCGAGCATGTATTTGTACTTGTAATTTATGATGAAGGATGGTATTTGTGTGCAATTCTGTTTCTGAGGGCTTGTTATTGATTCTCTCGCATTTCCTGTTCGGGAAGATGAAAACTCTTTTGCACAGCAGCCTCTCATCTCTGTTGAGAGTCTACGTCATCCAGGTAATAGAGCAGCTAGAGGGAAGCCAGATGCAGAAGAAGAAAACTGCTTTCTGCATTTGGAAGATGTTTCAAGCACATATCCACAATGCGCAAGACTCTAGGATGAGATTTTAAGGACCAAACTAACCAGTCCATCCATACATCCAATCAACAGCGTACAGCGGCAGACTCCGAGCTAAGCCTCCAGAGGTCTTTAAGTTCACATTTGTTAGCGCGTATGGATTTTGCTGGTGAGCCGGCATTGAAATCATGGTATTGAACAACGGATTTTCTGAGAGGAGCGTATCGACTGTGGGGCTGTAGCCCACTAAATCCATGCTGATATTGAATAGGGTCTATAGATACTTGGAGGAGAAATTCTATTAGGTCCAACTCAACAGCCACCTCCCCCAGAGAGCCGAATCAATCTGCTGTGTGTGTTTGCGGCCGTATGATGTGTGTGGTGACTTGTGTGCGTTCATGTGAGACTGTGAAAAACTGGAGTTGGAGTTGGAGGGGGGGGGGAGGTTGATGATTCAACGAGCGCTTTACACCAACAGAATGAAGACATACGCGTACACACTCGCGCACAGATGTTACACCCACTCAGGCCACCTTTGACATAAGTGAGGAGGGATTCTGCGTCTCGCCGAAACGACAAGAAAAGCTGCTGAGGTGCCGTGTGTGAGAAAGTCATGCTCGCTTCACCATAAAGACCACATGCCAGCAGTGAGTCAGTGCCGAGGAGTTTCAGAGGCCAGCATGGGAGGGAGAGTGAGGTGAGGTAGGACGGATACAGAAAAGGAAAAAAAAAAGGGGAAAGATATGAAGCCTGTGAATTAGTTTGTGTCAAAATGAGTATTTAAGAATGAATGAATAGATGGTCAGACTTCCTAAAAATGCCTTTTTGCTCTCTGCTTCTTGAATTGTGGGTGCATGTTTTTGTAAATGGTGTTTCTGCTTTTCGATGACATTGCTTTGTATATGTTTTTACTCTTATTTGCTCTCATTGGTCAGTTTTGATAACACACCCACTGTCAGTCACTCAGCAGCGGCCAATCAGGTTACAGTACCTGTGGAACGTTCTGGAATTATGAAAACAGAAAAGTAAAAGGAACGAAAAAAGAAGAATGATGATGAACAGGGAGGTCGGCCAATCAGGTTACAGCACCCATAGATATGTATAATAAAGGCTAGATGTCTTAAGGCGGCGTTTTGATCGAGATCACCCGTCGGCCATCTTGATTCGGGGCAGCTCTCTGGCAGAACCTGTGGTACGTGAAGGAAGGTGAGTGATCTGCACAAACGTAAACACTCTTATCTTGCTGAAATCTTGACGGATTTACAAACGGTTTGGTTTCTTCCAAACGTTATTAACGTGGCCACAATTCAAATTACGAAAATACAAATGAAATACAAAATGATTAAAATACAAATTGTTGCTGGCCCTGAGAGTGTAGCATAATTATCCGTAAGTGCAGTGTTATAACTACACCTCTGACGTTTACAAACCAAACCGTTTGAAAATTGATAGAAAATTGAGCAAGTTATGGTTATTTAAAAAGTGCATGCACCACTACAACACGATGTTATGGGTGAGCGAGCGGACCGTACCAAGATGGCCGCCAGTGTGGCCGTGCGATTCCATTGGCCGGCAGCTCAGATGAGACATCTAGCCTTTATTATACATATCTATTACAGTACCTGTGGAACGTTTTGGAATTACGAAAAAGAAAAGTAAAAGGAACAATAAAAGGAAGAATGATGATGAACAGGGAGGTCGGCCAATCCGGCGGCCTCGCTAGATAAACAAACTGAAGGTGGGAGGAGCTTCCAAGCCTCAAATTTCTATTATTTTTTCTTCTTGTTTTTGTTTTCATTTGTTGTTTTCGATATTGGAAAATTAGTTAACCCAACTCAGCTAAATGACGTCGGACCACACCCATGGAAACAAGTCAGATCAAACCCTACATGCTGCAAAAAAGCTTTTTAACCAGTTAGAAATGATGTTTTTTGGTGCTTTTGTAGCTACAGCTTGGTGCACTGACAGAATACTTCCAGATGAATACTAATATTAGCAGGTTGCAGTGACAAAGTTGATGTTCAGTTGGTGTTTAGTAGATAGAAACTTAGCTGCTGGTGTATAAAAGGAAAGGTCAAGTATTACCAAAGCCATTAGGGTTCACCCTCTAGGGAACATCAACAACTCAATCAATAGCTGCTAAGATATTTTACTCTGGACCAACAGCTTAACCAAGGCTAAAAACATCACCCCTTAGCTTCCCTCTCAGCCTTTAAGACCCTGTATTGATGCTTTTATATTACCAGCCTCTACTTTAAAGGTATCATCTCAGGTGGATATGAGAGAATCCTCTCCTCAGTGGAAGCTGTCAAACCAGCATAGAAGCACGACATAGGCAGAGAAATGACTGAGGATCATACTTTTTTTGTTTTTTTACAGGTTCACTCCTTTTTTATTTGTACCAATCTAAAATCCTGCTCTCCACTCATTGGTCAAACCTCACATTTACTCAGATTCATTCTCATATTAACCCTGTTTGTGGCAGATGTCAACAAGCTCCCACCTCATTGATTCATACGTTATAGTCTTCCCCGTCTCTTCATAACTACTGGTCCGATAATGTTGTCAGGGGTTACTTCAGGTGTCCTTCGATCCAATTGCTTTAGCAGCATTCTTTGGGGTAATACCGGATCCGCTGATCCTGCCAAGAATCAAAGCAGACCTTGTGGCCTCCTTGACCCTATTGACTAGACAATTGATATTACTTCTTTGGAAGTTATCCATCCTCCCCTCCATCTCAGGAGGTTTGCATTAGAGAGGTTCTTTTTTTAGTAGAAAAGATTAAACACACACTGTGTATGTCTGCAGTTCAATTTCTCAATCCATGTTAATCCCTCTTTGACCACAGAGACATGCCGCAGTTCCAGAGTGTAACTGAAATTACACAACGTTGGGGGTTTTTTTGCATTTCTTTTTGGCTTTTGCTTTTATTTGTTAGAGCAGTGGAGAGAGAAGAACAGGGAAAGACCTGCAGCACATGGTCGTGGTCGGGAGTCGAGCCCATGGATATGTATAATGGTTTCTTGGTCCGGTTTCTTCCAAGTGTCATTAACGTGGCTACTTTTCAAATTACAAAAATACAAATAAAATACAAAATAATTAAAACACAAATTGTTGCTGGCCGTGAGAGTGTAACATAATTATCCATAAGTTCAGTGTTATAACTACACCTCTGACGTTTATAACAAATCAAACCATTTGAAAATCGGTAGAAAACAATGTTATGGGTGAGCGAGCGCACTGTACCAAGATGGCGGCCAGTGTGGCCGTGCGATTCCATTGGCCGACAGCGCAGACGAGACATCTAGCCTTTATTGTACATATCTATGGTCGATCCCTTGACCTCCATTGTTTGTGGGTCGCCGTCTCATCAGGTTGCACTACCGGGGCGCCCCATAACTTTGTTTGTGTAATAATACAACGTTTTTCATACGTGATGTCTATGTATCATTTTTGGACATACGTTACAAACCCATTAAAACAATTTAAGAAACTGTTTATAGGGTTTGGAGAAAAATAACATCATGACAAAGCCATACAGACGAATCCTAAATTATGACAACAAGAAAAATTCCAAGAACATGAGCTGGTTCAGATCATAGACTGTATAAAAGATGGACGTAGCAACTGGCCCTGAAAAATGAAGCCAACCCAGAAGTGTCAAAAACCTGCAATATCACTACGTCCGCTAGTCCTGGCTCCAGAAAGCCCTGGCTCCCATAGACTTGAATTGGAAAAGAAGTGATCACAGATCACCGAATACTGCATTCCTACAGCTCAGGGTTTTTTTCTTATTAGTTTTCATAGTTAAATTCAGAGATCAGGTGGCCAATCTGAAAATAAATCAATACTGAATTTTTTAAAAATCGTCAACATTTTGCGGGGCAAGGGGCGTGGCTGGCTTGATTGACAGTCGGCAGCGACGATGCAGGCGAAGCGAGCAGAAGGCGGTAAATGTGGGCGGGCAGAGAGGGCCCGCCTCTCAATCCATCTGACCAATCGCTGCTCCTATGGCTCCGCCCCCCTCCGAGGATTTTTGCGTCACTGGCTCCAAAAATCCAAGATGTCAACCAGGAAGTAGCAAAACCCTGGCTTCATTTTCTCAGTGCAGAAACCAACGGGTGACGTCACGGCAGCTACGTCCATCTTTTATACAGTCTGTGGTTCAGATATGGATGCTCTGAGACCTCACGGTAGCTTCATCTGAATTCACGGCAAAATCACGAGTACAAATGTACATAAGCTTGCGTGTTACCTTTAGTATTTGGCATCGGTCCGAGGAGCAGTCGATGTTCTCACAGGGCTGGTACATTCCCAGGGTCACGCAGTTCAGCAGGATCACCATCATGCTCACACGTTCGAACCACGTAGAGAAACAGCTGGTTAAGGAGAACAGCTCACAGAGTGAAAAAGAACAATTTACAATCTACAAAAAAAGGGAAAAGAAGAAGTGGTTTATAACACAAGCCACTCTGTCCAACACGTGTCTAAATTGAATAATGACTTCAAAAAGAAATAACAAGAACAAACCCATGCAGGAGGGAGCTCTCCAAATAATAACGAGTATCACAGGATGTGCACCTTTTTAACTGCAAATGGTCTAAATGTGACGACCCACATTTCATCTTCTAGCACCAAAGCACAGGGTCAATCACTCCTGAAGGCCTGTTCTTCACAAATACTCCCACCCTTGCACCAGAGTGCTTTAGAAATTGTATGATGGATCCGTTTTTGTTACTACGACTGTGATGAGGTGCAGTCTGAAGATCTCAAGGTCTGATATGAGTTTTTCTCAGTCTGCTATTTTCTAATATTACACTAGCAGTGAATACTATTCTGTTTGATGCCTATACTATGAAACAAGCGGTTTACAATTTAACTTTATGACTCTCCTGACGCTCCCACATACACCCCAAAGAAATCTAAATATAAAGATAAAGGAGCTGTAATAGATGCTACAGGTACATTTCACAGAATGAAACTGTGCCATTTACTGTAAACGTGTCATTGAGCAAGACGCTGAATCCCCGCTGGTTCAACGGCTCCTATTAGGAAGATCCCATTTCACTCTCAAAACGCTGCATAACAAGTGTCTGGCGATGTGATGCCGAATGTTTTGAGAGCATCGGGGCATGAGCAACACTTGTTTTGAGTAAAAGGTTAACGGAGCAAGCAGAACATGCAAAACCAAGCTGTGTGTGCCAGAGAGAAAAAAAAAAAACAAGAGTCATGCGGAGTGATTCAAAATGCATTTTACTTGTGTGTTCAGGGATTGAGTGCACTGCTTGGCTAACAAGCGCGTGAAGGAGGATGTGCCGTAATAGCCCAGGAGGTCCAATCCCTCCCCGAGGCGATGCAGCACAGGATGCTGAAACGCTTCCCCCTGTAGCCTAAAACACACAGCCTGCAGGATGGGAGCAGCAAGAAAAATCAGACGAAGTGGGGAAAAGGAAAAAGAAAAACGGCTCTTCTTCTGAACAGACAGAACTCCCTGAAAAGATTAAATTCTCAACATGTTTCTCTTGGCCCTTCCTCAACCTTCCTACAAAGAGATGGACTACTGTAGATATCACAGCACGGATAAAGATAGGCTGTGAGTGGGCAAAACACATGCATACACATAAACACGCAGACAGAGGCTTCGCACACCGACGCCCACTCACCAGCACACATACGAGCCGAAAAGTATGCACGTGTGAAACAGGTTCCGAAACGTAAACGGTCACGTTAAACCACCCACACTCACTCACATGCCACCTCACTCAGCAAGTCTCGCCTTCTAATCAAACAATAAATCAGTGCATGTCAGCTGATATGGATCTTTAAAGGAGAAATATTCATCGCTGCAGGGAAGCATGTTTAATATTGATGTCCCGCCACGCCAACAGCTGCAAAGACAAGGTTAAGAGTCAAGATTTATCGCGTGAGCCTTGCTCGACACCGTACTGCCAGAACGGCTTCACTCGGTGGGATTAATACACGGGAAGATAACTTTTTAATTGACGTACACCTTTTAAATATTGCTTTTGAATCACTGGCTTCCTCCCATTAACGACACAGTCAGGGGCACAGGAAGCGAACGCAGTGGGATGTATGTGAACATGATTAATATGCTGTAACTTTGTCATTTATAACAGCAGGTTCTATGTAGTTTGATCAAGCTGATATTGTTTTAATTGGTTTTGAAAATAAAATGATAATAATAAAAAAGGCGATGGAAATAGCCCATGTATGGAGATATTTTCAGATAAAAGCTGGTTTAATGAAATACCTGAGTGTCATTTAAGATTTTTTGATTGTTGCGAATAAAACTCCACATGTTTCAAAATAAAAGCCTACCTGAAATAGGGATTTTTATTTTTTTTCTTAGCAATTAATAGAGCTGATATCCTGTAATTAATCAAATTTGCACTGCTATTTGGCACCAATGTACATATATATTTTCTGCTCAAATGTGTAAATTCTTGTATATATTTATTATCTTATTTAAATTTTTTATGATTTATTTTATTTTTATTATTTTCTTTCTATGGTTATTTAACTTTATTTTCCTATTTCTATTCTTCCTGCTCATTCCTATGGCGACACCAGCAGCCAAAACCAAATTCCTTATATGTTGTGTCCGTACTTGACCATTAAAGCTGATTCTGATTCTGAAGACGCACTTATGGAACTGATTTTTGAAGCTTTGCATTGAAAACAACATTCCTGGTGTCAACAGAAGTTAACACCTCATTTAAAGGCTTTTGTTTACATATGTTCAATTAACAGAGGACGGCCCAACATTGACCCTTCAGTGTTGATTGGCTATTAGTCATGATGTGTAAGCAAACAGATGGTGCTGCAGGCAGGTTATCGCTCCAGAACACGGCAGCGACGACGGACAGAGACAGGTGGCTGCGACGAAACAAAAGTAGAACATTTTTGAACTAACCCATTTTATCAACAAATCTGTTAAAAGATTCCAATAACTGGACAAAATGCTGAGTATCAGAGTCAATAATCAGCCAAAGTGAAAATCGGTTGACCCCTAATTCATCGTCACTTCAAGCCAGAGCTTCCTTTGTAGACTCCAACTGCACAACACTGCCGTCTGATTTCTATATAATCATCCTGAACTAGCCAACGTACACCCAACTACTTGTAACGTTCCTTTTTGGTTCCCAACTAATGCTGCTGATCATTTCTAAAGCTTGCTCCAAACTATGTCCAAAATATACTGGCTCACTGTGTGTTTGGACATTCCCTTACACTGGTGGATGGATCCTGCTGGTCATTCGTGTCTCAGGAGGTGAGGACAGTTTGTTTATTTTCCTCTTTAGTTGACTTGACAAAACCTACAAACCCAACCAAAGATAACGGATATCACCACAGTGGTTATCACTGTTCCTGTTAACCCAGGGCTTTCTTTCATCGGGCTCTGTGAACACTCCAATAAAAGAGGCCGGTGGACACATCATTTGACTCTTCTTCTGCACAAAACGGACCAATGACGTGCGGCCTACTTCAGTCAAGAGGCTGTTATAATGGAGAGCTGTGAATTTATTACAGTGAAAAGCAGAACTACTGCAAACGATTCAGTGGAAATCACTTCAGCTTTTGGTCAAATCAAAGTGAAATTAAACGTACTGATTGGATTTTCTCTGTGACAGACTAATCAGTTCTCTAATATGTGTTCTATTAGCTGCAGCACAAGCAGTGTAGAACAGACTCAGCGGCAAATCAGGACCAAACATATTTTTGGGTTTCCTGTGTCACCAACTGAATGCATGTTGGTTCCCAGGACAGCCGAACGCATGAAGTTTGCAGAGTCACAACTCCACACCTTCGTTCAGTGGTAACGTACAGCTCAACCAACATATCGTACTCTCTCAGCTGAGAATCTGCATCGCTCAGAAAGAATCATCAGGAATTCTGTGCAGCATCTGTTGCCATGGTAACGTAGCAGGTTAAAACCTTCGAGAACTCTGACTTAAGCTCAACAGAACTGCTCCTTCTGTGAAACAACTTCATAAAGAAAATAATTTCTAAACATTTAAGAGGCTACTTGGTTTTATCATTGGACTATTTTCTGATTCCTGTGTTTTTGCTGTTGTTCTTTCTTTGATGTGTTAATTATGTGTTATCTGGGTTGATGTGTGCAGTGTTTCAGAATCAATATGTAATGTAATGTGTCATCTATGTAGTAAAATCAATTGAAAATTCAATTATAAATGATAAAAAATATGCAAATTGTATCATCACTCCACAGGCACACTGCACACACACACACAGGCCCACTTTTGCCACTTCAGCTTTTTTTTCTGGAGCTAGCCCTTCCTAATGAGGACAGAGATATCATCCGCAGGTGTCACTGAGCGAGTGTGAGGCCCTCCAGGCGGTGCGTGTGAACACACCACCTAAAAAGCAGAGCCTTCCCAGGCAGACACACACTTTAATGTGAATTGCATGGCTGTGTAAAACTGCAGGTCAGCGCTTTCTTATTTCCCCGGTCTAAGTAATGATGACAGCCCTGGGCTAATGCTGTGAGGATTATCTCGGGGTTATTTCCACTGCCAAATGCATTCTTTAAAAACAGCCTGGGTGAGTTGCCAGAGCGCCCGGTCCACATTCTCATGCACGCTGCCGATACATGAGCAGCCTTTAACAATGCACAAATGTCTGTCTGTCTCTCGCCACTTCTGAAAAATGAGTCAATTAGTGTAGGTGCCTTGGAGGAGGCTCTGTCGTTTTCTTTTTTTCTTCTTCTTCCTCACACAGACACATGCACGCTCATCACCACGGAAGGGAAAGGAGGTGGAATTCAAAGCACAAAGCTCCATTACAGGCGAAGATTAACTCAGAAATTGTTTCGTACAACAGTTTCGCCGCCAAAATTTTCTTAACCCTCGATTTTTGATTCTCAGCGAGGAGCGATTGCAAAGAAGTGTGCTTGCGCTGCTTCATATTCATCAGAGGCTGTCAGTCACTACTGGAGGCTCCTGGGAACACCTACAGCATTTCAGTGTGGGCAGCTCCAGTGAAAATATTTGGAAGTGTATTATGTAACACAATTACTTGCGCGACATGTCATCAAACTAATATTCTGCTCCAATTTCTGTCAAGTGACCTACTTAAAGACTCTTGCAGGCTGATTGTTAAAGGAGAAAAAACACTGAAGCCTGTGAATTGTTTCTGCAGATATATATATTATAAATTTACTGCAAGCTGTGAAAGCCCAAGTTTTTAAACCGCTCATCTCGCCTCCACCAACATCTCTGCACTAAAAGTTCAATTCAAGCTGCAGGAGAAGATTCAGTCGGCGCGTCGTACAGCTCGCAGGAAACAAACCCGAGACTTTAAAAGGCCAGATAAAATTCAGTGGCAC